TTTGCCTGCTAACCAGAAGGCTGGTGGTTCAAACCCACCAGCCACTCCTCGGAAGGGAAGTTGGGCAATCTACTTCCATAGTGATACCCCCTTGGAAACCCAAGGAAGGGTTGCTGAGTTGGATCCTACTCAAAGGCAGTGAGTAGGGTCACCTTCACAGCATGTTTACATAGTTAAAGGAGTGAAAGACCAGCTGGACCACTGAGCCATGGAGACTCAGTCAAGACTTTACCTTATGGGGTGCGGCATGGCAGCAGGAAAGGAATTTAAAAAGGATCAGGATCAACAGCCCAAGTGTCCATCACAGCAGATGACTGGATAAACAAAATATGTACATACATATGATGGAATATTGCTCATAGAAATGAAGTTTTTATACATGCTCAAATATGGATGAACTTCAAAAACATGCTTACGAAATGAGTCAGACAAAAGGCCCACTTACATGAACGATCTAGAATAGATGCGTGTATAGAGACCTGTTTATTAGTGGTTATTAATAACCACAGATAGATGGGAGGGAGAAGACTCACTGCTTAGGGGACATTGAGCTTCTAGTCAGAATGATGGAAATATTTAGAAACATAATGGTGGTATGTTGAACCTGATAAAACTTAAGTCACAGAATTATACATGGAACAATGTTGAAATGGCAAATGTTTTGTTAATGTTACCACAACAAACAGAGAAAGGATCAGGGTGATGTGGCTTTTAGAATCAGAAGGCCAGGCTGAAGTCTTTAATTCCTCTGCTGCCTGGAGCCTAGGCCAAGTCCTGAAAGCTCCAGACTATTTCCTTATCTGTAAAATGGGAATAAAGGCACTGTCTGCTATGTGGGGAATTGAGTTGGCCAATGGAATGCTGTGAAACTGGAATGTTTTATATAAATGGTGGAGATTATTTTGATGCTGAAGTTAATTTACTGTGATTTCACACTAGACCCATGTTTAGGGTAAGAAGACTGGGATGGGAGGGGGAAGGTGTGTCATGGGTCTAATTTGTAATAGGTAAGAGATTTCTTAACTGATGGCAGGCTTATTAAAGGTTATAATTAACTTCAGCACTTTGGTGGAACTCCCTACAAAAAAAAAAAAAAAAAAAAAATCTACAAAAAAAAAATCTGATCTCCTGTGTAATCACTCTTGCGAGTGCTGGCTGCAGTTTCTGCAGTGTTTCTCATAACCCCATGACTGCAGTCATGATCCTGATATAGCACCTGACTGGGCTCCTCCTTGACTGCAAGGGCTCTTCAGAAAGCAATTAGTTCCATTTGGTTTTTATCTCCACAGTTCATAGGTGTCCACAGCTAGTAAGCCTATGGAAGCAGCCCTTCCTTCCATGGTCCAAAGGAAGCCCAACAGGTGCCAACCAGCATGAGCCCCTTAAACCTAATGGTGACCCGATTTGAGAGAGAAAATGTGCCTAGTGCCTGAGAATACTTGGGCTTGAGTTTGGGTGTGGTACTGGTGTGACAGGCTGTCAGACTACAGGCTCTGCCAGGGTGCTTAGTCACTGAGGTTAACCA